AATAGTATTTTACCTAAACAAACTTAGGAAAGGCCAAGCATCTTTTCTGATTTGGCAAGTCTTCCCAGGCAGCTCTTATAACAGTGTTGAGCTAATTAATAGTTATAGTGAGAGGTATCCCAAAATTTTATTTTCTTTGTAAATTTAGTATCCAGTCTTGGGAAGGCAAAATCTAAAGAGTTGTCAGAGATTTGGTCACTTGATTACAATAAGATCATGTGTGCCTGAAAAACAGTATTTGGTTACCTATTTAATTAAAGTGACAAAATATTTTAAAATAAATATAGATGAAGGTAAAATAATCATAAGAATCCTTAGCTGCCTTTATAGGCAAGGAAACTTTTTGTTCAAAAAAAATAATCAAATGATAAAATCAGTCCAAAGCAGAAAAAATTATTCTTGTGGACATGAAATATTTGTTCTTTAAGCAAATTACACAGAAGGTAAATAGTAAGTAAGCTTTTTACCTCTTCTTAGGAGCTCCAAGATCAAGTTACCATTCTAATAGAAAACAACGTTTAAGTTTTTCCATTAACATAATATCTGGCAGTAAAAGTTTCTCAAGCTCTTTAAAATTAATGATAAACCCATCAAAACCGAGCATTCTTGGGCTGGCCCGGTGGCACACTGCTACAGTGCGCCGCTTGGGAGCACGGCGGCGCTCCCACCAAGGGTTCGGATCCCACATATAGACCGGCCGCTCACTGGCTGAGTGAGGTGTGGGAGCAACACCGAGGGTTGCGATCCGTTGCCGGTCACGAAAAAAGACAAAAAAGAAAACAAAAAACAAAAAAACCGAGCATTCTTTAGCAAAATTCTAACACATTTCATTGCACAAAGAAACCTAAGTTTCTGTTTTATAGCTCTAAGGCAGTCTATTGTAATGAAAATAACTTATACACATAAAACTGTAATTCAAACAAGCATATGATATTTATTGTTTGGTGTTTGGATGGACTACCACAACATAACATTTGAATTTAAAAGTCTTTTGGGCAAGAGAATGCCATTTTCCAAACAGTTATTTTTAACTGTTAGTATGGAACTAATGTGTACAATGAAGTAAAAAGAGAGATTAGAAGCAGGGTACACTTTAAGGGGCTTCCCTCTCCTCCACTTCCCACCCCATGTAATCAAACCCTATGTAGGAAGAGTCTGAATGAGGGTAGAGAGAGGGAATGGGAATGTAGGCTTTATACTTACATTTGTACAGGCTGTGCCTTCCTTCTCTGCTTTCCTTATATATTCCATCAAAACCGAGCTCAGAAATTACCTCTTATGTCCAGCTTTATTTTTTCACCTCCAGGCTGAGTTGACTCTCCTTCTCTATGCTTCTTCAGCACTCAGTGTTACCTCTCTGTAGTTACTAGTTTGTTTATCCATCTCCTTCAATAGTCTTTGATAAAGGTTCGCAAAAAATGGCCTGGACCTTTACAAAATAAATTTGCTGACGCCTGATCTATGAGCTCTTTAACTTTTTTTTGCCAGTTCCTGCCCATATCTGGTACGATATTAGTACTGAATAAGTTTTTGTCAAGTTAAAAAGTAGTACAGATATGGGAAATATAGTAATGGAAGAACACTATCTGTGAAATGAGGCATGGATGATTTCTAAGATGTGTTTCATTTCTACTGGTAGACTCCATAACAGTAAAACTCAACTGAGCCTAACTTTCAGCTTCTTTTTATACTTTTTCTTGACCCCTCCTGGTTGAAGTAATTGCCCTCTTGTTGTATATATCTCAGTTATAAAAGTAATGCATTTATTATAAGTGTGTGTTTGTGAGTTTATCTCTACTACTGTATGAACTCCTTGGAGTTTGAGACCGTATTTCATTTTTCTACTTAAAATGCTTTATGTGAATATGAAAAGGGACTTAAAATTTTGTGCAGTCCTCAGTAAATATCTGTAGAACGGAACGGAGAAGGTTTTGTAGAAAAAGAAAATTATTTTAAAAATTAATTTAACATTATTTAAAATTGTTTTTTTAAAAAAAAAACTGAAGAGATAAAGTAAAAGGTAAAGCTTTTTACCTTTCATTTCATCTTCTGCATATCCACTTCCCTGACATAAACACTGTTGACTGATTGGTGGATATCTTTCTATGCTTGATTTTTTATTCCCTCTTTTTTTTCTACACACACGCATACATACACACAATTATATAGAACTCAGGTAATATAAGCATATACTTTTCTGGCAGGCATCAAGAAACGTTGATAATGAGACTGAAAGGCTGTAGTTAATTTATTATTGTAACCAATAATAGAATAAAATTTTCTATTGGGGTAGAATACACAAGTATTTGAAAAGAGCTTGATGAATGTTTTCCTTAAGAATCAGTGACAGCAAAGTCACTGAAAAATCTCCAAGACCTTCCCAGAAAGCATGCATTTTCTTTTTTAAAAAGATGACCGGTAAGGGGATCTTAACCCTTGACTTGGTGTTGTCAGCACCACACTCAGCCAGTGAGCGAACCGGCCATCCCTATGTGGGATCCGAACCCGGGGCCTTGGTGTTATCAGCACCGCACTCTCCCGAGTGAGCCACGGGCCGGCCCCAAATGTCCTTCCTTTTTAAGGGTGAATGATATTTCATTATATGGATACAATACATTTTGCTTATCCATTCATCCTTTGATGGACGCTTGGGTTGCTTCTACCTTTTGGCTATTGTAAATAATACTGCTATGAATATGGATGTACAAATATCCCTTTGCTTTCAATTCTTTTGGGTCTATACCCAGAACTGGTATGGCTGGATCATATGGTAATTCTATTTTTCACATTTTGAGGAACCTCCGTGCTGTTTTCCACAGCAGCTATTCCATTTTACACCCCCACCAATGACGCACAAAGGTTTCAATTCCTCCATATCTTTGCCAACACTTGTTATTTTCTGGTTTTGTTTTTGTTTTTTACAGTAACCATTCTAATGGCTGGGAGGTGGTATCTCGTTTTGTTTTGATTTGTATTTCCCTAGTGATTAGTGATGTTTATCATCTTTTCATGTGCTTATTGGGCATTTGTATGTCTTTGAGGAAATGTCTGTTCAAGGTCTTTGCCTATTTTTAAATTGGGTTGTTTGGTGTTGTTGTTGGGTTTTAGGAGTTCTCTATACATTATGGCTATTAATCCCTTATCAGATTGGAAATATTTACTCCCTTTCTGTGGATTGACTTTTTACTCTGTTGCTAGTGTCTTTTGTCTAGGGATCCGAACCCGTGGCCTTGGCGTTATCAGCACCATACTCTCCCAAGTGAGCCAGGCTGGCCCTTGTTTGCAATTTTCTAAACATAGTTACTTTAAAGTTTTTGTTGGACTGTTTTATAAAATTAATTTTGTCTGGTGTGAATTCTTGTTCTGATGATTTTCTTGGCTGGGTTTTTTTTTGCATTAGATTTTTAATTTTTTTGCAGGATCTTTTGTGGGAAATGTTTTATCTCCACAGCTCACTTAATTTTTTTTTTTTAAATGACCTGTAAGGGGATCTTAACCCTTGAATTGGTGTTGTCAGCACCACGCTCACCCAGTGAGCTAACTGGCCATCCCTATATGGGATCCGAACCCGTGGCCTTGGTGTTATCAACACCACACTCTCCGGAGTGAGCCATGGGCCAGCCCCCACAGCTCACTCATTTTTGATGGTGATTTTGTGATTGCCTCACTTGGACCCTCTCAGTTTCCAGGATGGGGAGTCCAGAAGGGTTTCAGTTTTCTTATGTCAAGGCCATGTGTCTGTCCTCTTACCTCCTTAAGCCTTCAACTTCTTATATAGCCTCATACTCCCAGGATGGATAGTGGGGAAAAAGGGGAACTGTGGTGGGAGCTCCATACCCCATCTTCCCTATACTCTTTACCGTCTTATTACCTAATCCCATCTCACCTCATATTCCATCCCAGTCAACCCTACTCTGTCATTTTTGGCCTCAGGAGCTCCATACCCCATCTTCCCTATACTCTTTACCGTCTTATCACCTAATCCCATCTCACCTCATATTCCATCCCAGTCAACCCTACTCTGTCATTTTTGGCCTCGAGCACATACCTGAGTCAAGTCTCCTGATTGATACGGAATTTAGTTCCTGTTACCCCACACACTCCTGGCTTTCACTCATAGAGCACTGGAGTTCTATATTTATGAATGTAAAATGGTTGGGTAAATTATTAGAAAATTTTAAGGTTAATTTGTTACATTTAGACTAGTTAGAATTTTCAGGCAATTTTTTTGTGGGGGAGTGGGGGCAAGGTCCAGATTCATTTTTTAAGATCTTTATTGAGATATATTTTTCATACTGTAAAACTCATGCATTTAAAGTGTATATGAAGTTCAGTGATTTTTTAGTATAGTCACAGGTCATGAAACTATCACCTATCACCAGTCTCTAATTCCAGAACGTTCTTATCACTTCAGAAAGAAACCTTGTACCCATTAGCAGTCACTTCCCACACCGCTCTCTATCTACACCCTGGCAACCACTAATCTACTTTCTGTCTCTATGGATTTGCCTATTCTGGACATTTTATATAAATGGAAATCATGTAATATGTGCCTTTTGCCTATTTCTAAATAGGGTTATTTGTCTTGTTCTTGTTATTCTTGAATTGTAAGAGTTCTTTTTCTGGGTACAAGTCCCTCGTTAGATATATGATTTGCAAATATTTTCTTCCATTCTGTGGGTTGTCTATTCATTTTCTTGATGGTATCCTTTGATGCACAAAAGATTAAAGTTTGGTGAAGTCCAATTTATCTGTTCTCCTTTGTTCTTTCTTGGTACTTTTGGTGTCATATTTAAGAAACCATTGCCTAACCCAAGGGCATGAAGATACTCCTGTGTTTTCCTCTGGGGGGTTTATAATTTTAATTTTTATTGTGGTCTAGAATCCTTTTTGAGTTAATTTTTGTGTATGGTGTGTGGTAGATTACCTTTTATAAAAAGTGTTGTCAACTAAGAACTTGACTGTAATAATATTTCTGGCTGTTTTCCTATCTTTTACAGAACATATTTTTAACCAAAGATGGGACAGTACAACTTGGAGATTTTGGGATTGCTAGAGTTCTTAATAGGTAACATGTCAATTTTAAACATTTTTTTCTGTGTGTATGTGGCTGGCTGGTACAGGGATCTGAACCCTTGACATTGATGTTACCAGCACCATGCTCTTGCTAACTGAGCTAACTGGCCAGCCCTAAACTTGTTTTAATATAATGTTTTCAGTGAAACTTTAACCCGTGCTGGTGTTTATGTGATCATTTATAATATCTTTAAGTTTCTCCAATAATTTTCTTTTTGTTCTAGTACTGTAGAGCTGGCTCGAACTTGCATAGGAACCCCATACTACTTGTCACCTGAAATCTGTGAAAACAAACCTTACAATAATAAAAGGTATTTAAGGTGATATTAATTCTATTATGTATTTCCTTTAAATGTTCCTGTAATACTATATTTATTAACCTTTAGAATACTATTCTAAAATCAGTAATACATGTATATAAACATATATGTATGTATAAAAGTACTTTTTTAATAAATGATGAGGGGAATTGTAAAAAAGCTATTTCACTATCTTGCTGAAGGAACTATAGAAAGAATCACTTTATTATTTAAGTTAGAATTGGAAATAGAGTGCTTTCTTTGGTCTTTTTTTTTTTAATAGTCACTTACTATTGAAGTATAGCTAATATTTATTGAACACTATATGCCCTGCACTGTTTGAATGCTTTCTGTGTATTAGCTCTTAATCTTCACAATATTTTGTGAGATGTAGGTATTAATTATTCCTCCTTTCCTTATAAGAAAATCAAATGCAGAGAAAGGTAAAGTAACTTCTTTGACATCCATCCCTCAGCCTAGTAAGTGGTGGAGCCTGTGTCCAAACTAGGTATGTGGCTTCCGAGCCCATATTCTTTATCACTGAGCTGTGCTATGGCTAACAGATTGTGGAACATGTTGGTGGGAAAAGCAATCCTGCCATTGAATTCCAATCACCCTTTATTTCCTCTCCTTCCTTCTAATTGAAAAAACCAAACTAGAAACATTACTCAGTTGGCTGTTGTAGTTTTGTTTCAGATTTCATTTTAGTAAATTAATATTTTTTATGTTCATTAAAAATGTTGTGTTTTTATAATATTTTTTTAATTACAATATTTTGCACAGAATTGAATAAAGCAGTTTGACTTTTGTGAAATAAACATAAGTAAATAGAATTAGAATGTACATGAAATTTTTTGATAGTGCATTCTTTTAAATATTAAATTTTTTTAATGGAACTTTAAGGTAATTGCTTAGGCAACCATTATTTTTCTAATCCGGGACAGCTGCTCTTGTCATTTGGTTACGGTTGAAATTTTGAGTTTTAAAAGAAATGTTTTATGGAGCACATAGTTTTCCAAAGCATTTTCATGCTGCTTGTTGCCTTTAAATGAAAATTTTTAAAAAATACATTCTGATACTTAGAGGAATTTTCTCATTTTTTTCTCCCCTAGTGACATTTGGGCTTTGGGGTGTGTCCTTTATGAGATGTGTACACTTAAACATGCAGTAAGTAGAGTTTCTGAAATATTTTTTAAGTTACGTAAAAAACTGACTATAATAATTTAATTACTTTTGAAATTGTGTTCTTTCAGATAATTCTCTTATACTAGAAATTCTGTCAGTTTTTAAATTTCTCATTTTTTCTGAAGTATAATTTTAAATTTGTTTTCCCTTAATATATATGCATATATGTATATTTGTTCAACATACTCATGGAGGGTTTATCTGTTGCTTTGCCTCCCACGGATTTGTCACCCCTTTACCCCTGGGTGACAGAGCCACAAAGGATTACTCAAAGCCCATCTCTTCTGAGCAGTGAGAAGCCCCAAAGTGGTTAATCTCCTGGAGCCCTCAAGAGAGAGGCATTCCTTCCATTTGGGAAATTAACCACGAATTGGGGTTCTCTGCCTGCATTTATTCTCCAGACCAGTAAGTTACAAGAAGAGAACATACGTGGGGTTATAGTTTAACAATATAGGCTGATAACATTCCATAAGACAATTTAAGTGATCCACCAACAAAAGCTTGATCTTAGCAAACATTCCTGCCCCCTACTGCAGCTTCCCAGTAACTTTACATATCAATCAGTAACCTGTTTGTCTTTGAACCAGCAGCCTTACTGTGTTATAACTCTTTATCTTACAACAGAGACTGTATGGCCTGGGGAATATTTCCTATTTTTTGTAAGGTCAGTATTTGAAACTGCAAGGCTTTGGAAAACCAGGCCCTGTGAAGTACATTTGCTTTATGCGTACTCTACATTTATCAATTTAAATACTTTTTTTTTTTTTTCCTTTTTGTCTTTTTTTCGTGACCAGCAACGGATCGCAACCCTCAGTGTTGCTCCCGCACCTCGCTCAGCCAGTGAGCGGCCGGTCCGTATGTGGGATCCGAACCCTCGGCGGGAGCGCCGCCACACTTCCCAAGCGGCGCACTGTAGCAGTGCGCCACCGGGCCGGCCCTCAATTTAAATACTTTTTAATTCAGAGTATTTAAAATTTTTACTTTTGAGACTTTTTTGAAATAGCATATAACACACCAAAAGGGGAGAGTTCTTGTCCTATATAGGTTTAATCTTAAAAAAAGGATTTGAAATGTAAGTGATTAACGTTTCCCCCACTGATTTAACAATAATGTACTGTATTTTCATTATGCAAAACTTCAGAAAATACAAAGAAGTGAATAAATATCATAAGCAGTTCTTCCAGCCAGTAATGAGCTATAATACCAGGATACTTTAAAAAGTTCATGGAAAAATAAAACTAAAAGAGAATGCGAATCTTTCCATGAACTTTTTAAGTACCCTTATATTTTGTTGTTTCCTTCTAGACTTTATTCTAGATTAATTTATAAAATTAACTTTGATTTTTTTTTCCTCCCCCAAGATTTGGTTATACTGTATAAACAGTTTTATAGCCTGTTTTTGTTGCTTGATATTATTTGGGGAGTATTTTTCCTGTCATTCTTTTTAATGGTTGTATACTCTTCCACTCTATTGCCTTAGATGTTCTTAAAGCATAGCCTGCCAAAGTGATGTGGGATGGTAGTTATTATATATGTATTTGAAGGAATTGGTCAGTTTTGCTGTGACAGAATCATTTTAGGTGTAAAGCAGTGTTTTGGGTTTTTTTTTTATTGTTTTTCATCTTCCTTGTTATGTCATCATTGCTTCTGTATTTTGGAATCGTTTACTCTTACGTGGACAATTGAAATTCAGTAATTTATCAACCTTTATTTATGAAAAGCTTGTCAGTTGAGAGATAAATGAAAGTTCACTGGAGTAAAGGAATAGAAAACTATATCTTTTCTACATTTAGGATTCCTTTTAAGATGCACAAATGTTTTTACAAGATTGAATTTACTCAAATTTTTATAAACTGAATGACATTTGAAGTGTACTAGGAGAGCCTAAGATTTGATAGAACTATTTTATAATTAATATAATTACTGCTGCCTAATTTATAGAGCATTTTGTTTTCTTAATATAAATATTAAGAACATACTGACAATTGTTTTATAGTATTTTAGCAAAGATGTCAAAAGCTTAATTTGCCTTCTTTCAAAATGCCCCACCTCAGTTTTCTTTTTACTTCAATTAGATTTTTTTATTGTGTTTATTCTTAAAATACAAGGATACTTCAAAAAATTTGTAGAAAAAAATAGAATTAAAAGATAATATGAATCTTTCCATGAACTTTTTGAAGTACCCTTGTATATATTCTTATTAACATAGTTTGTATTCTCCCTTGGAATATTTGGCACATTACTGATTCCGTGGCCTTTGTAAGCATTTATACACACAAAAATAATTATAATGAGCACTCCCTAAAAGGAAAGTAATTAGTAGTTTTATTTATTATATTTCCCAAATACTTTTAGTTCTGCAGTTAATTTCTTATCTTAGTCATTCCCTGTGCAAAAGAAGGCAAGTATTAGATGAAGACCACCACGTTGTTGGCTTTTTCCTCCTTGTGGTTCTTTGGCCCTAATTTTGCTACCTCTAAGACATAAGCTTTTACCATCTTGATTATTGTCATGGTTTATAAAATCTTCATTCTAATTAACATCTGTATCCCATCTTTTAGCACTTTAAATAAGTAAAAATTACTCTTATAGCAAGTTATAACATTTTGTTTTTTGAACTGATTTTCTTTTTGAAATACATTTGTACATAATTAAGTAAACTTTGCTCTAGAGAATATATGCTTATTAAATTTTTTGGAAGAGGGTTATATTTCTATTCTATATTGATAAGAAAAGAACTGTTTCTTATTGCTGATAGATGTTCCCTGTTTCAATTTATGTATGTTTCATATGTGTTGACTTATTTTTTGGATTTTAGTTTGAAGCTGGCAGTATGAAAAACCTGGTACTGAAGATAATATCTGGATCTTTTCCACCTGTGTCTTTGCATTATTCATATGATCTTCGCAGTTTGTTTTCTCAGTTATTTAAAAGAAATCCTAGGGAGAGGCCATCAGTCAACACCTTACTGAAGAAAGGTTTTATAGCCAAGCGCATTGAAAAGTTTCTCTCACCTCAGGTATGTTTTTTACTTCATAATTAAAATTAAACAGTAGTGCTATAATGCTTAAATAGTACCTGCCCTCCATTTTTGAAGAGAGCACAGCAGAACCTAGAGGGAATGGGGTGCCTTTTTCAACTTCACCTGGTGTCACCTTCCTTTCCATTCTTATGTAACTCTTTTTCTTGCTATTTGCTTTACAGTTGTGTATTATTTCTCTGTCCCTTGGGTTTCTTACTATAGAATTATTAAACCTTTTTGTGCTTTACTTTCTTCACCTGTGAGCAGTGAGATTATAAATGTATCTATATCATGAGGTTGTTATGAGAATTAAAAGTGATAGTGCACATAAAGTGCTTAATATCTACCACATAAGTACTCAAATATTCAGCATGAATTAAATATTATCAACATATCAATTTATTATACTAATATAAATATATTGTCAACATAATTTATATGATTATAATTCTATTTGATAGGAAATGATTGGAAACTATTGTTCTATGGCCATTTATATGTATGTATACCAGATTGTTGACTCATGAATTTTCCTCTAGTACTTACATGTGTGTGCATAATAAATATTTGTTGAGTTGAATTGAATTTTAATTTGACAGGATTTATAAAACACCTGTATCAAATTAGTTGGCATAAATTATTCATAAAAATGTGATCATCTGAAATTGGAATTATTTTACTTTTCATGTTTAATGTGGCCTTTAATTTAAATAATCACTATTTAAACTCTTCTGTAAATAAGATGTTTAGCAAAATCATAGTTTTATTACTTATATATGCTTGTGGGAAGAGAAGGAAGTGTCATATATCCTCCTGGCTTAACAGAACATTCATGTGAACAAATACTGTTTAGAAAACAGAGATTTGGATTTAACTATTACTACCAGGAGAACGCATTAGTAAGCAAGAAGGCCAATTAAAATTTGGAGGTTAAAGGTTACTTGTATAGGACATAACTACAACCTCTGAAATGTGGGTGTCTTACAAGGCTCCTTTGTTATAAACAACATTTGCAAGGACAGTTTTATGAGGCAGTGTGCTATTATTTTTTTGGCAAGTGTAGAGAAGAAACAATGACTTCATTTAATCTTGCTGAGGTTTCTTTTCCCCCATACCAGCAGTTAGGACATACAGTCTCAAAGCTGAAGCACTGGAATTTAACTAGCTAGCAATGAAGGGGAAAATATTCAAGCCTGAAATACACAAAACTTATAATATGGAAAGAAAAAAGGGCAGATTATGGTTATTAACAAATGGAGTATTTGACATAACATATTTTCTATATGACATAGATCCTCCTTGTTGCTATTTAAGCACCACTTAGATTTTATTCTTCATGAACACCTTTATCTTTTGTTCTTCAGATTTATTTTCTGCTATACAGGCATACCTCATTTTATTGCTGTTCACTTTATTGCACTTCATAGATATGCATTATTTACAAATTGAAGGTTTGAGGCAATTTTGTGTTGAGTATATCTATCAGCACCATTTTTCCAACAGCATGTGTTCAACCTCGTGTCTCCTTGTCATACTTCGGTAATTCTCATGATATTTTATTTATATTTAAATTTTTTTTGGCAGCTGGCTAGTAAGGGGATCCAAACCCTTGACCTTGGTGTTATCAAAACCACACTCTCCCAAGTGAGCTAAACAGCCAGCCCTCACAATATTTTAGACAGTTTCATTATTTTTATATCTGCTGTGGTGCTCTGTGATCAGTGATCTTCGATGTTACTATTGTAGTTGTTTGGGGTACCATGAACTGCACCCATATGAGATGGTGAATATAATTGACAAATGTTGTGTGTGTTTTACCAACTGGTCATTCATCATATCTCTCCTTCTCCTTGGGCCTCCCTATTCCCTGAGACAAAGCAGTATAGAAATTAGACTAGTTAATAACCTTACAATGGCTTCTAAGTGTTCAAGTGAAAAGAAGAGTCACATGTCCCTCACTTTAAATCAAAAGCTAGAAATGATGAATCTTAGTGAGGAAGACATATCGAAAGCTGGGATAGGCTGAAAGCTAGGCCTCCTGTGCCAAACAGTTAGCCAAGTTGTAAATGCAAAGGAAAAGTTCTTGAAGGAAATGAAAAGTGCTACTCCAGTGAAAACATGAATGATAAGAAAGCAAAATAGCCTTATTGCTGATACGGAGAAATTTTAGTGGTCTGGATAGAGGATCAAACCAGCCACAACATTCTCTTAAGCCAGAGCCTTATCCAGAGCAACACCTAACTCCGCAATTTTATGAAAGCTGAGAGAGATGAGGAAGCTGCCGAAGATAAGTTTGAAGCTAGCAGAGGTTGGTTTGTGAGGTTTAAGGAAAGAAGCCATCTCTATAACATAAAAGTGGAAGGTGAAGCATCAAGTGCTGATGAAGCTGCAGCAAGTTATCCAGAACATCTAGCTAAAATAATTGGTGAAGGTGGCTACACTGAACAACAGTAGTCAAAACAGTCTCCTATTGGAAAAAGATGCCATCTGGGACTTTCACAGTTAGAGAGGAAAAGTCAGTGCTTGGCTTCAAAGGGCAGGCTGTCTGTCTTGTTAGGGGCTAATGCAGCTGATGACTTTAAGTTGAAGCCATTGCTGATTTTCCATTCTGAAAATCCTAGAACCCTTAAGAAATATGCTAAATCTACGTGGCCTGTGTTCTATAAATGGAACAACAAAGCCTGGATGACAGTAGCACATCTGTTTACAGAATGGTTTACTGAATATTTTAAGCCCACCGTTGAAACCTACTGCTCAGAAAAAAGATTCTTTCAAAATATTAGTGCTCATAAACAAGTCACAGCCTGGATGACAGTAGCACATCTGTTTACAGAATGGTTTACTGAATATTTTAAGCCCACTGTTGAAACCTACTGCTCAGAAAAAAGATTCTTTCAAAATATTAGTGCTCATAAACAAGTCACTCAACAGCTCTGATGGAGATATACAAGGAGATTAATGTTGTTTTCATGCCTGCTAACACAACCTCCGTTCTGTAACCCATGATCAAGGAGTCATTTTCACTTCGAAGTCTTATTTAAGAAGTACATTTCATTAAATCTGTAGCTGCCATAGATAGTGATTCTTTTGACAGATCTGGTCAGAGTAAATTGAAAATTTTCTGGAAATGATTAGCCATTCTAGATGCTATTAAGAACATTCATGATTTGTGGGGAAAAGCCAATATATCAACACCAATAGGAGTTTTGAAGAAGCTGATTTCAACCCTCAGAATGACTTTGAGGGGTTCAAGACTTCAGTGGAGAAGTAACTGTAAATGTGGTAGAAATAGCAAAAGAACTAGAATTAGAAATGGAGCCCAAAGATGTGACTGAATTGCTGCACTCTCCTGATAAAACCGTAATGATTGAGAAGTTGCTTCTTATGGATGAGCAAAGAAAGTGATTTCTTAAGATGGAATCTACTTCTGGTGAAGATGCTGTGAATATTGTTTCAGTGACAACAAAGGATTTAGAATATTCTGTAAACTTATTTGACAAAGCAGTGGCAGAGTTTCAGAGGACTGACTAATTTTGAAAGAAGTGCTATGTGGGTAAAATACTTTCAGACAGCATCACATGCTACAAGGAAATCTTTCATGAAAGGAGGAGTCTGTGGAAGTGGCAAACTTCATAGCTGTCTTATGTTAAAAAATTGCACCCCAGCCTTCAGCAACCACCACCCTGATCAGTCAGCAGTCATCATCGAAGCAAGATTCTCCAACAGCAAAAAGATTACAACTAGTTTTTTGGGGGTTTTTTTGGTGGCTGGCTAGGACAAAGATCCGAACCCTTGACCTTGGTGTCGTAAGGCTGTGCTCTAATCAACTGAGCTAACCAGCCAGCACTAAAAAGATTATTGCTTGTTGAAGGCTCAGATGATCATTAGCATTTTTAAGCAATAAATTATCTTTTAATTAATGTATATACATTATTTTTTTAGACATAACGCTATTGCACACTTAATAGACTACAGTATAGTATAAACATAAGTTTTATATGTACTGGGAAACCAATAAACTTGCGTGACTCGCTTTATTGCAATATTTGCTTTATAGTGGTACTCTGAAACCAAACTACATCTCTGAGGTATGCCTGTATATCACTGGTTCATTGTTCAGGTGAGAAGGTTTGTGGTACATTTTTAAAGGCTATAATTTTGAAACAGTTTATAAGTTTTACTACAACATATGAAATATTATTCTAATGTCACTGTAATGCTCTGTACAATTTTTATTTTTAATATCTAAATTATCTCAGTGCCATCAGTCAAGGTTTGTGGGGCTTAGTTCTTAGTCTTGTGTACCCTGGCAACTTCTTCCTGGATGTGGCTTAACTAATCATAGGTAAGCTCTGATTCATTAGGAATATAGGTGCTGTCCCGTAGAACACTCTGTGGTAATGAAAATGTTCTGTATCTGCATTGTCCAGTATTGTAACCACTAGCCACATGTGGTTATTGAGCACTTGAAATGTGGTTGGCTTGACTGAGGACCTGAATTTTTTTTTTTTTTTAAAGATGACCGGTAAGGGGATCTTAACCCTTGGCTTCATGTTGTCAGCACCATGCTCAGCCAGTGAGCTAACTGCTATCCCTATATAGGATCTGAACCCATGGCCTTGGTGTTATCAGCACTGCACTCTCCCGAGTGAAATTTTGAAAGAAGTGCTATGTGGGTAAAATACTTTCAGACAGCATCACATGCTACAAGGAAATCTTTCATGAAAGGAGTCTGTGGAAGTGGCAAACTTCATAGCTGTCTTATGTTAAAAAATTGCACCCCAGCCTATTTTTAATTATCTTTATTTTTAGTTTTAATTCAAATATCTGCATATGGGTATTGGCTACTATATTGGACAGCACAGCATAGGGATTCCAGAATCATACTGTATTCTATATACCCCTTCAACTCTCAGTTGACACGAGCTCATGCACAAGGGGAAAACAAACTCATACTCAGACAATGAAAAAAATTATTCAATTTGGGAACAAGATGGAGATTATAAAGCATTCATTTTCTTTCAAGAAAAAGAGGGGGGAAAAGTGCATATGTTCAGAAGAAAGCATGTTCACCTAGGTGTTCTGAATTGTCTGTGAATCATACTTTCGCTTACATTTATCCTCTAGTGTGGTGATTCTCAAAATTTCACACACATGAAAATCACCTAGAGGGCATCATTGGGTCCCACCACCACAATCTTTGTTCAGTCATTCTGAGGTGGAGCCTGAGAATTTGCATATTTAATAAGTTCCAAGTGATGCTGATACCACTGGTATGAGACTTTGAGAACTACTTCTCTAGGGGGCTCATTAATGGGAAAGACAATCAAATCAGGTCATGGTTTTTTGCTTGTGGGAATATCTGGTCCACTGTTACTGTAGGAATATTCTTTCTACCGGGCCTCGGTCCTCTTGAAAAGAGAGAGAACTCATTTGGCCTTTCCCTTTCCCACCCAGTAAGGGAAAAGCAAGTTTAAATTGAGTTCAGGGCCGGCCCGGTGGCGCACTGCTACAGTGCGCCGCTTGGGAGTGGGGCGGCGCTCCCGCCGAGGGTTCGGATCCCACATACAGAATAGTTCCCGCTCACTGGCTGAGCGAGGTGTGGGAGCAACACCGAGGGTTGCGATCCCGTTGCTGGTCCCGGTCCGGTACGGGCGCGACACTGAGGGTTGCGATCCGTTGCCGGACACGAAAAAAGACAAAAAAATAAAAAATAAAAAATAAATTGAGTTCAATCTTTGTTATCTTAGTTTTGCATTTAAGGAGGGAAAAAAAAAATTGAGTAAGGAGCGAAAATTACCTGCAGGAAATGTAAATGGTTTTTGATTCTCAAAATATGTTTGTAAATGTCAGAGAATAAGTAATGGAGTGTTTATAATAATGTTAAAAAGAGATACTTGTTGAGTTATATAAGAATATTTAAATATTTATTCAATAACATGTTTACAAATATGAGTGCAAACTTAGTTGAGATGCTGAGGGAATTCTGCATAAAGTTAAAATAACTGAGAGGTTATTCTGAGAGAGTTACTTTTGATAATGAAGTGATTCTTTAGTAGTTTTGAAGTAAATGAAGGATATGGGTGCACACAGAATATAGAGGTTATTCCAGATAGGTGGTTGTGTTAAATTCCTGAGATATGGAACAGGTAAGTATTGTATGGTGGCCTATGTAGTGCATTGGATTAATGTGAGAAGAAAGCCTGTCTGGAGAATAAACATAGATTGGTAAGATTAGGAGGGAGTTAACATGAGAGGAATTTGCTGAATGGATTACTTTTTGCTGAATGGTTTTAATTAGTAAGGTTTATTTGGCAACATAATTATGACTGAAAAAGAAAAAAAAATGTATTCTGATTAATGGGAAGATTTTTTTTATTTTGGAAACTTAACATCTTTTCTAACTTTTTTTTTTCTTTTAATCTAAGCTTATCGCAGAAGAATTTTGTCTAAAAACATTTACAAAGTTTGGAGCACAGCCTATACCAGGTAAATGAAATTTAATATGAGGCCCCTTTCATCTGTTCATAATAATTAAGCCTAATTATACTAGAAATGTATGTATTTATAATAAACTGGGATAATTGTAGGATAAATATAACCCAGAGGAAATGTACCTTAAAATGACTTATGATATATATCAATATACAACACTTCCTGATAATTTAATAACAAAATTTCCATTTCTTGTCTGTCTTATTTAAATGACATCTGGCTTGAAATCTTATATCTTTATGAAATGCTTAGCTGATGTTTTGGGAACATTGCTATAGAATATTATAAAATCTCCAATTTAGGAGTAAATATGTAAAAAAAATATTTTGAGAAATATTTCATATTCGGAATTTTTTTTTAAACTAAATGTGAAGTCAAGCACTTTATTAAGGGTACGTTTTCTTGGTTTTCTTTTAAATAATGAGATCAGTAGCGTTAGAATGTCTTAGGATTGTGGATGTGGTTATATATTATATATACATATATACATATATTTGTGAGAGAGAAATTTTTTGTGTGTGCATAGAATGATTTCAGAATGGATATCTATTTTTTTTAATTATTTTTTTATTTTGTCAATATACAATGTAGTTGATTATTATGTCCCATCACTGAAACCTCCCTCCCTCCCCCCCCCCCCCCCCCCAGGCATGTCCTTTCCATTTGCTTGTTGTAGGAACTTCAAAAAAAACAAAAAAAACTGTAGA